CCGCCGGCCCTGAAAATGGAGCGACCTAAGGTGAAATTCTTGCAAATTTTGCAAAACTACAAATTTTTTTTTTGCTTGGGGGGGCTTGGGGGAGGTTCGTTCGAACCCCCCGAACCTGCCTACGGCCTACGGCTGGCTACGGGCCTGCACACGCATACAATGATACATACACACACGCGCACACACATGCACGCACGCACACACTTGTACACAATTATGAGAAAGATATGTTTATTTATCATACCAGCAGTCAACGAAGAGTTAATAAATTAATGTCATTATCGCTTGAATCATGCATCCTTTAATCACATCTTTTTATCAATCTCTTTTAACTTGAGGTGTAAAATGCAAAAATTAAACCACAAAAATACAGGAATAATCGTTATTGTATTTATTCTTTACCAATAACAGCTTTCTGCTGTAGGAGTTTATTGTGGTTATCAAATTGTGTGCCAACAACATTTTCATCATACCGAAATTGTGCACCCAAATTTGCAAGATGCATTTTTGTGTCCATAATAATATCAAATACAACAATCAAATTAATGTAGCAATTCACCAAGTAATTATGCAATTACAGCATGCAGATAATCTATATCCAGTTTACCTGCGTGTGCTCTATTTAGAAGCTTGCAGTTTACTGCATTAGTTATTGAAATGTTAAGACACTTTCACAGATCTATATCCTTAAACTTAACACAAGATATCCTTATATATGCTTATCCAAAATGGTTTTAGAATGACATACGACATATTGATCACACAAACATATAGTATCAACTGCAAGAGAAATTATTTTTATCACATTGTTTGCAATGATAGGTTTAAAATCCCAGTTTTAAATGGTTATTTACCATTCTAATAACATTTTTCGCCATTTAAAAAACTGTTTTCAAGAACATACAATTGTTGGGCTTTAAATCATCTTGGTCAATTTCTAGCTCTGTCTGCAATGGCATCTCTGCCCATGGAATGTGTGCTTATAGCACGTGCATATAAATGGGTACGATGTAGTAGCAAACATGAGACTATAGACATCATTCACTGACATAACATCCACACATATTAACATATATAGATGCCTCCACCAGGTGCTTACTGACGTGAAATGATTACGTAAAATATATCACAAACTTCAACAACATAATAGTGTGTCATATAATGAGCGTATTAAGTATACTTAGTATTAAGTATACTTATAATAAGTATACTTAATACTAATATGCTCTTGGTCATAGCTATCAACACATGCAGATATGCAACCATATAGGGTGTGACAGAACTCCTGAAAGTTCTTCATAGCAGGTTATGCGGGAGAAGGTGGTGTTTGCTTTGCGAGAAAGTTAAGGAAGTCTATGCTTGTCACAACACCAATTATCACAGTCTTTGTCATGGAATCTTCGTTTGTTCTATCTGAAATGTATAAAGTGACGCATCATTATACCACAACTGTAAGCAATAACTTGCACGTCATTTTCAATTTGATGGTGACAGAAACGGTGTTGGGAGAAAATAGAATTATAAAGGCCGTCTTCCATTCATTTACGTTATCATCGAATAGTATTAATACTCACATTGTTTCTGTTCATGCAATACAACAGCAAAATGATCGGTGTTGAGGATTTGTGATAGCTTCCCAAGTGTTGTCTCCAGTGTAATCTATGAATATATACAAATACATCTTATAGTGCTGCCATCTATGCACTGTATTATATTAACACAAACATATATATCTATCAGGAGTAGATAATAGGGAAGGCGTGTGACTTCAATAAACAAGGGAAATTCGTCATTTACTAGCCTTAGAATAGTTATACCTACGATTTACTACGCGTAACTCAACCAACTTGAGCTCAAGTCGTACACAGTACATTCGCCTAGCATCGTGTGAAATCGTTTCCTTGTATACACCCGCAATCCGGAGATACAGACTAAAACGTACGACACGATTTTCCATTATGTTGCCAGCAAACTAAATGTGTAAACCGCCTAACTCAAAACAAAAGGCAGCTACTAACAACTCTTGCACCCTCGGCGATGCGGTGTGGCTCGCTGAGCTAATCTTTGACCTATTTACAGCTGCCTTTTGTTTCGAGTTAGGCGGTTTATACATTCAGTTTGCTGGCAACATAATGGAAAATCGTGTCGTACGTTTTAGTCTGTATCTCCGGATTGCTGGTGTATACGAGGAAACGATTTCACACCATGCTAGGCCAATGTACTGTGTACGATTTGAGCTCAAGTTGGTTGAGTTCAAATGAATGATAATGATATGATCATATGATAAAAATATATCAGATTGTTCATACGAAAGATTACTGTACGAATACAGGACCTCCACATACACTCCAAATGCTCATGGGGCCCATGCATGATTTCCTAGCATTATGCTTCTACCATAATACTTCTAACTCAACAGGCCACACAGCTAAGAAACATCATTCAAATGCACAATCCTTGCAATGCTTACAGTCTTGAATTGGTTGTACAGAATCTGTGATACGGGCGTCTGTTTCTTAACCCTGTCAGCAAGTACGGCTGCCATGAGACTCCCGAGTGTTACCATGCCATCGATACACCTGCAACATGCACAGACTCACATGAAATGCATCCATCCAAAGTACAGCGGTACGTATATGCTAATAACTACCTATGTTGCACATACTGTATACGCTGTATATTTTGCGGTGGTTTAATTTTCGCGAATTTCGCGAACGCATTCCCGACCGCGAAAATAACAACACGCGAATAATTCATACCGAATAATACCGAATAATTCATAATTCACCGACCGCGAAATTAACCACTCGCGAAATTGTCCGTCAAGTCTGAAATCGCGAAAATATCTGTACGCGAAAAATATGGCTTATTCAGTAATCATATATGTTTTTCACATAAATATTACCCCTGTTCGTCGACCACAGGCAGTTGGTCGTATCCCTCCGTGTTCATGATCTCGATCGCGTCCTCGACTGTCATGCTCGGCACGACGGTGAGGGGCGCGTTCAGGTTGAGTGCAGACACACGCTCCTTCCACCACCACTCCGACGCCGCCTTGTGGTCCTTCGCAAGAAAGTCTCGCTCCTCCATCCAGCTGTCGCTGAGAAACCTTGTCCTGTGGAAATAAAAAAATAACAATAAAAAACCATATATATATATATCTATACTATAAAAGGGAAGAGCCCATTTTTTGTTAGCTATGTTCTCTGAATCTGCTCGCATGATTTGAAATTGCTTGACTGTAAACGATGCATTACCACTCATAGAGTAATATTGGCGCACTTTTGCAATGATGAAAACAGGATCAAGTTGAATTTGAAGCCGTTTTATTTAACACTGGTGTACCGATACCATACCGCTGTATCGATCGACGTCACTACTCACTACCATTAACCAATGTAGTACGCGTCGTTGCCCGCTGCCGCTGTGGCGCAGTGGTAGCACGCTTGCCTAATAGGTTAGGGGTCGGGAGTTCGAAACTCGACAGCCGCGGAAATTAAAAAATATATATTTCTTGCCAGGTGCGCAACTTCTTTCTTTCATCCTAAATAGATGCATATTTAAAATAGATTTAATTTAAAATGTATACTATAAAAGGGAAACAGCGAATTTTTATTAGCCAAGTTATTTTTAAGTTAAGGAATTCCCCTGGGATATCCCAAAATCCATAATGAGGCTCTTCATGACAATGTGCTCACCACATCTTCACGTTCGGTTGAGTTTGACGCCAAAAACTTTGTAGCTGAGTTAATACAAGTTAATATACCTTTATCTCCTGCACTTAAGCTAGGTTTTCCAAAATATCAATATGCCTGTTTCTTGAATAACAATCATAGTTCGTAGGCCTACACAAACACAGTGACCATGTTTCCCCAGTCAATAAATGGCATTATTCCTGCCGATTGTCACCAATTCCTTCATCAATTATGTATTGTTGGCAAAACATGTTAAACCCCCAGACAGCCCCACAGACAGTAATTATCAACTGCTGACAAGAAAGCTCCTGAAATTATTAACTGCTGACCAAACAAACTACTGATATTGGGGATTTCAATTCTAATATCAATTCTTACAAACTGCTGATATAATTCGATATTAGGCATAAAATAAAATAAATGTCTGTTTACGGTTCCAACTCAATTTTTTTAAAGGGTAGGTCGATAGGTAAAAAAACATTTTTTGACTTTAAAAATTTCTTTTAAAGTCAAAAACACCAAAACTATCATTCAGTGTGTTCATTTTCTAGAACTTTAAACCCCGATGCATATTTTGATGGAAAAATGATAGAAAAATATTGTTTAGGAACACTAATTTCTATTTCTCGACTTTATTTATAATCTTGCCCTAAAATAAATCAATTTAATATTCTTTTTACAACAATGCTAATAACAAAATTTGAGTCGGCACTTTTTTGGAAGGGTCTGTCAGATTCGACTCTAACTGTGAACGTAGCTGTCCATTTCCCTGTGGATTTTTTGAATTCCCTTAATACCGCAGGCTTACCACCACACAAACTTACTCTTAAACTTGGTTCCCCCATCATTGTCCTCAGATCTTTAGACCCACCCAACATCACCAGTGGAACACGTTGTCGAGTCACAGCCTGCCATGCCAACGTCATAGACGTCGTCATCCTACATTGACCAGCAACTGGCAAAACCGTATTCATACCACGCATACCACTCATTCCTTGAACATCAGATCTTCCATTTCAATTTAAAAAACTGCAATTCCCTATCCGCCTTTGCTATGCTATGACAATAAACAAAGCCCAGGGACAGACTTTAACTACCATAGGCTTGGACCTGACCACACCTGTCTTCTCCCATGCATGGCATGCTCTATGTTGCCCTCTCACAAGTAGGCAAACCCATGGCGATGTTCATTCACACACAGGACAGGAAGACCAAAAACATAGTTTACAAAGAAGCCCTTGATCCTTAGGTGAGCTACAACACTAATACAATCATTCATGAATTCCCACCATCCGAAGGATCAGTTTCAGTTACTCATGTCCCAGACAGTCAGGCAATTACATGAAACTAAAAAGGACGTTCGCGATAAAATCTCCACCCCCGAACACCATATCCAAACTGCTGACAAACAACTCATAGAAACTATCACTGAAAACTAAATCTAAATATTCAAGAATGCCTCTGCAATGGTACTACACTCAAAATCCAGACTTCACAAACATGTACTTGATGCTGAAATACTCACCGGCCCTCGCAGTGGACAAAGAACATTAATACCCAGGATAATATTAGCTCCATCCGATGTCACGCTATCATTTACACTTCCACGCCGCCAGTTCCCTATTCGCTTGGCTTACTGCATCACCATCAATAAAGCGCAAAATTAAGGTCAAACTTTCAAGAAGCTGGGGATTTTCCTCCCAAAACCCGTCTTCTCTCATGGCCAACTTTACGTTGACTTCTTACGTGCTAAATCTTTTGCTAAGATAAAGCTTCAACTGGAAACTACTCACAACCAAACTCAAGGGAAATCAGACTCTCTTTTCTACACTACCAACGTTGCATACCATGAAGTTCTGTAATTTAGTGTCCATCACCTGTAAATCTCATCAAATAAACTTTTCTATTCTATTTTACTTCTTCAAAGTACTTCTTCTCAGCTAAACCATGCATCTCTACATTCACAGCATATGCCCGCACCCGTGAGCATCACTACCGTAGACTTTCACTACCATAGCCTAGGCTTGGGCCTGACCACACCTGTCTTCTTCCATGGCATGCTCTATATGTTGCCCTCTCACAAGTAGGCGAACCCAGGGCGATATTCATCCACACACAGCACACGAAGACCAAAAACATACTTTACAAAGAAGCCCTTGATCCTTAGATCAGCTACAACACTAATACACTCATTCATGAATTCCCACCATCCGAAGGACGGGTACTTTGCTAGTATATATACATATATACATATAAATATAATATATAAATATAAATATAAAAAACCACTTTCCAGCAAGCTCTCTAGCTTTCTACATTCACATTATGATTAATTATATTTATGAGACGTGTGTAATTGCCGCACTTATTATCCTACAAAATTAACAATCACACAAACCACGATGCAGTAAAACAATCAAACATCCAACCCACCTTGCAGCAAAATTAGCTAACATGTGGCCCCTAGATATTGGGTTGATGAAGCAAATGGTGTTTGATTAAATGATCAAATAAAAAAAACACATGTAATACAAAGTTCCCATTACGCAGAGCTACAGTTTCTTACATGTAGTTTCTCAGGGAGTCAGGCAGAATGACAACGCAGTTTTGTCCCTCCTTTAATTCTTTTGCTGCCTTCACTGCAGTGGACATCGCTGTACCACTGCTGCCTCCTGTAAATGTAACATTATATGATACAAATAGTAAGAGCACAATATTTCCTGCACAGTAATAGCAATACTCACAGACTTTGTTTTATTGACAGAACACATACCACAAATGCAATCACGAAGATACATTATAACAAAGAGAACAAAAGATCAAAGTTTGATTAAAGTTAACCAAATTAGTCTGTAAGAAGTCAAACATATCGTAAAACATGATAACGATCAAGCTCACACACCACAAAGTAATCCTTCTTCCCGTAGCAATCTCCTAGCCATGATGAATGTCTCCTTATCCTCAGACTTATACCATTTGTCCACACTCTGCAAACAGTCAACATTGCCGGACAGCATAAGAAAATGCAAGTACATGCATGCTTTATGTATAAGATTCTATAAAAGTTTTATATGTTATCGAGCCTAGAGTAATACTTACACTTCTGTCCAATACAGTAGGAACAAAATCATAGCCAATGCCTTCCACTTCATAGTACGATATGTTAGTCACGTTAAGCTCACTTGGAGCAGCCAGGGTCGAACCATATGGGTCAACACCTATAATCTAAAACCAAATAATTGTAAACATTCAGTAACACCATATCAAAACATACATTATGCAAGAAATAGGTTACATCAACATGCAAATCTCCAACGTAGCTGTAGCACAATAGCACACACACCAGCTGAGATATTAGGTGTGGCTGGAAAGTAAATTTGCTGAGTCATACACACATGCATTGCATGAGTGGTAAAAAATATAGCGCTATTGCAATTTTACCTGACAATTTGGGCATTTTTCCTTGATCTTCCTACTAATTCCAGTGATCGTACCACCTGTTCCTGCTCCTGCTACCAACATGTCCACCTTCCCTATAAAGCAACAGGCCATTAGCATACACCGACACAGAGATGAGCAAAAAATAATACACGAATAAACAAAATATGTAGAAGGTCATGGTAATGTATGCACATACACCCATATTACAAGGGTGCCTGTGGGTACTGATTACAAACATCTACATCCACCATATACCCACAGATCATGCCATACCAGTACACACCATTCAGCACACCAGTACACACCATACGCCAACAGATATTCACACACTTACTCATACAATTATGTTAATTGATAATGCAAATGAAAGTAATGGGAATTCAGGATAACATCTAAACATAAATAATGCAAGAAACCCCCCACGTGATCTATATAATATTATTGCAATTTCTTAATAACCAATCCCAGTCAGTGATCACAAGAGCATAGGAAGAGAGCATGTAGTATTTGTTCTCCACCTTGCCCTTCCTCTACATCTGAGGCAATCTCACCTCCACATTGTTCCAGTATCTCCTCTGCAGTCGTATCATAATGCGCAACAGGGTTGTATGGATTACGATACTGTAAAACAGAAACGATGCGTTTATTATGCGATTGCTAGTGTGGGTAAAAGACACACCTAGCTTACTCCACCAATAAAAGTACATTGTTCTTGCTTTGCACCTGCTTCTGTTTGTTAATTTATATAATATCAAGAATCCAAAAATGATGTAACTTTGATACCTAATTCTCCTATCAATATCTATATTATCAGTTATTATCAGTTATATATCTAACTTATATTCTCAGTTCTATTATATTTCTGTAGAATGTGTAGCGAGTAGAATACGCATGGAGCGACGTGTGTTTACGACATGTAAACCGTGTCTACGTCAGAGCCCACCTGGGGGGTTAATGAAGCTGGCGAAACCGTTTAGGTGCGACACGAAATGAGGAAAGATAATAAAAAGACACTTGTAATACCGTCGAAAGACAGATAAATAAATATATAGGAATAAGATATTGTTCCAGTATGGCATACAGGCCAGCTGTGTAAATATAACGCTGGACTAGACAGTAGCAGAAATAGCCAATTACAGACAGTAACGTAGTGCGGACTGACCATAAAAAATAGGTCTAGGCGTGTCTACCTACGTGAGTATATAACCGTTCGACTAGAGAGAGAGAGATCGGAAAGAGAATCAGAGACATTGATTGCAATTAAGACGAGATTGGTCAGAGCCGGCTACTTTCAGCTATAACCTCGTAAGTTATGTGATGTGACTCGCGCACCTCGCCTGTACGCATTCGCCCCGTTATGGGAGGATGCATAATTAAGTCTGTACCATTAAAGAGATGGATACGTACATCATAGTTCGTTATGTTCTTTATTACTTGCCTTTAAATAGACGCTAGCAATGGTGTAATACACACACTCACGCGTAACCACTATTACGATCACGGGTAGAAACAGACTTCCTTATACACTTGTCACAAAGTCACAAAGTCACACCGTGGGAAACGTGTCACCGTGTCGCGGTTCTACGATCCCTAGGTCCGATGAATTATCAAGGACACGACTGGCTAGGGAGCTTATAAGAAGACGGCCCTGCCACACCCGGGGCGAGCTTGGCCATCCTTTAGACTAATCCTCACGTAGCATTATATCCGTACTCTATTCGATCTGTATCACTGTCGTAATGGCTGAGAATAAACGTCCGTGTGGTATGTTCCATCAAGTGGTTTGTCTCGTATCTCCTGCCACTCCCACGATATGAAGCAAAGCTCCGTTACAAATGTATTCCACAAGTGTTGTTGCAACCATGCTGTAGTTACAAGTAAATGCACTTGAACCATTAGGTACTGCCATAGCATTAACACAAGAGCCGCAGAGCGTCTGGGCTCATCTGAGGTCTGTTGCTACGGTTATAAACTCAAAATTTCAGTCGTGCGTAGTGACACCTTTGTTAGGCGCAGATATGCAGATACGCAGTTGCGTACACCTCATTTCAGCAAACATTTTTTTATTGCAGAGAGAAAGAGCGAGAGAGAGGGGGGCGAAAGAGAGAAAGAGAAAGTGAGAGAGAGCGGCGAGAGGAGAGAGAGGGAGAGGGGGGATTATACAGTACTTACGGTTCCACTTGCTTTCACACAGAACGGAAACACAGCAAGCGGTTTATTAACCTTTGGCAAAGGCAAGATACGGTAACCGTTGAGTACCTAATTGTTAAGAGTTACAGATCAACGTAATCATATGATATAGATGTAGACAAGTGCCGCAGTGCGACAGGGCTCATCTGGTGTCTGGTGTTCTGCTGATAAATTCCTTTGTGCATAGCAAGACGTCTTATACATAAGTCTTCTTTATTCTTGTTTGACTTTCGTAGCCAATTCGAACAAATATATCAGCTACACTTTCGCACCCACCTAATCTCTATGCATTGCAGACACATGTGCATTGCAGGTTGGCAGGCAACAATTATGATTAGAAGCGTGCCAGCCATGGGCTGCCCCGTGTTTTTGCCTACCCACGCAAGCATTCACTGATTCAGCCTTCAGGGTGCTATAGACAGACTGCTTTAGAAAATAATATGATTTAAGGAGCGTAAACCTTGTTCAACAAACATTTGCCTTTGCAATTCAACTGTGAAACTGTAGCCTCACATTCACACAGGTATGGGCTCTAATAATAGCAAAAGCAGTTCAGTCCTTTGTTAACAGTCAACAAAACAATGTTTAACCCTCCTCTTGAGGGTCAAAAGGTTATCCGACACTTACTCTTCGCATGTCAGCGAAAAGTACATTTCACGGTCCTTTCAATAAAGCCATAAAAATGGTAGGTCACCGCTAAAACAAAAAAGTTTTCCAATCGCTCTGTCAGATCATGTCCTCAGAAAATGTCTAAAATCTGTCCTGTGCCCCATTGACCTTTGACCTGTAACCTCCAATTTCAGCACAGTGATGGCTTTTCCTACCATGATGCTATATACCGACTATCACGAGCCTAGGTCGAGCCGTTTAGATTTGTGCCACAAGTCTGCATTTCCTCCCTATACCTTAAGTTAACGGATGGGGAAAGTTCCCCCCTTCTTTTACACCCCTTGACTTTTGACCTTTGACCCCCCATGCTGTCGACATTCCCAAATCTGTTTTTCGCGATTATCCCCCATGTTCCCGATATCGTCAACGTTACGTCGAGGCGCGGTTAAGATTTGGCCAACTGTTGACGCCGAACGCGACGCCGGACGGCACCGCAACGGTCGCCTGCCCGGGATACGGACGCCACGGACGGACACACGCTCATGCTGATTCTACAAGCTGCAAGCTAATAAAGTATTAGATCATAAATGTTATATGTAAATATCAACGTTGCTCTTGCATATGCGCGTAGTTGAGCGCGTTATCCAGCCATGTCGTTAAACAAAACGCGCTAACCAGCACACCGGCCGCAACGAATTTCATATAATTCGCGATAGTATAGAATGGACTTTATTTCTCCACTCACTATGCTCGCTCTGCCCAGGCGTCCCAGCAACGCCTAAGCCAAGAGGTGGATCGCACAGTACCAGCTCTACATTATCTGAGCAGCTATCAGCAGGCACAAGAAAGCCAGTCATGCTTATTGAGAGTGCGGAGGTGTATTCGTAATGCCTACACTAAAGAATCTGCATATTATAATTAATTGCTTTAAGTAAGTCAACTTGTTGCTTCAAGTCAAGATGTCTATGTGTGCGTATTTCACCTGTAAAACTGTCTAGCCTTACACAACCATCAAGTACTGCGCAAACGCTAGCAAGCGTACGCTAGTAATAAAAATCCGTTCAAAGGCTTAAATTGCTTATATAATGATAGATTACTATAGCACTACGACCGTGAGCTGCGTCTGCTTGCAAATTCACTGAGAAATCCTTTCAAAGCTGAAAATGCGTTTATATTATATATATAGACTCTACCGTTGAAGTCGTCTGTCTGCCCAAAATTCCTGAATTCACTTAGAACTCATTGTTATTGCCTACTTTTCATAACATTTCTTCTCAAAATATAAACGAAAGATTACAGCTGTAGTAACTTTAATGCATATTCGCTTAAGGATTAAATGTTATCATGGCAAAGCATCGAGCAGCGGAGCTGTAGTTGCGTGGTGGTGGGGGCGGGCCGTAGGGAGTGCTCGGGTACGCGGGTGAACGGCTGCGCGGAGAGTAGGGGGGTGCGAGCGGGGGCTCTACTAGCAAAGCAGTTCAGTCCTTTGTGACAGCTCAACAATATCATGTTTAACCCTCTTTGACGGGTCAAAAGGTTATTCAGACTACTTAGCTCTTCGCACGTCAGCTGGAAAGTACATTCAGGAGATCTTTCCAATTTAAAGTGATAAAAGGTTAGGTCAGACTTGAAACAAAAAACGTTTTTCCACAGCGAGTCCGTTAGACACATGTCCTCAGTAAAATGTGCTGATATCTTACCTTTCCCCACTAGCCCTTTGCACCTGTGTACCCATTCACACTTATACAACCGAATATTAAGAGATTATTAGGTCAGCCGCTTCAGATTTCTGTGTGCCGCAATGTCCGTATTTCCTCCTATTACCTTACAGTTAGAGGGCGGAAATATTCAACCCTCCCGCTTGACACATCTTGACCTTTGACCCTGTGACCCTCAAATTCGGTCATCCCAGCGTCCTTTTTACGACCCCCCACCCCGACGTCCCACAATATCATGACGTTACGTCAAGCGGGTGTAAATTTGCTGCCCAACACTGCTCGACGGCACACACGGATACACGCTACGCCACAGACGGAACGCGCGCTCATGCGATATTCTACAAGCTGCATCTGGATTTCGTCAGATGAGCTGAACAACAGACACGTATTTCCAAGTTTCGGTAATAACAACCCCTCGTTCGTGAGTGATAAAGGAGTCTGGTGATCTCGGCACTTCAGCTCTCTGCCGCCTACAACCGATGTGAGACTCGTGGAGAATCGAAGGTCCTCGCTTTGGTCGGCGGCGCCAACGATCTCAGCTACTAGAGCGGCACGCAGACAACATCCACTCCTTCTCCAAACTCATTCTTCTCCTGGCATTGACGATGACTGCAGCGGATATGCCCTTTCACTGCTGCATGGCCAGCGCGCAGACCTATCCCTACAAACCACGTAGACACGTGCGATAGTTAGATTGTCGTTAGATTTAGTAATCACAGTTGATTAGCCGGTTATAGTTGTGCTTCATTAATTCATACCCGTGCTGCCAGCCAGTGACATCACCTTATCCCTACAAATCACGTTATAACACGCGGAGTTAGTTTAGTTTAGTTTAGTACGTTAATCAGTTATCGCGCCGTTTAGTTGTGCCTCATTATCTACCTGCTGCCAGCCAGTGACCACCCCTAAGTCCCAACAAATCACGTTAGACACGCAGATAGTTGTTGTCTAGCCATCATAGCCCTGCAGCTGAAACCTAACAGGACATATCACCTGCAGAAGACAGATACCTGAACATGGAAGATAATGCAGGTACCCTGGCACAAGGCCAACCCTCTGCAGCCTAGTTGACACCTGTCAGAATTCATTTCTACAGAACCAAAACAGACCGCGACGAAACACAGAGAAGTTTGTACATTACACCAGACAGCGATCAGAAGTGACAAATACCTTGTTTCACAGAGGTCGGTCGATGATGGACATGAGCTCAGCTTTCGGCCTTCCAAGGCTCTGCCCTTCGCACCATCGCTCAGCCCGATCCCTGCTTTCACACTTGGTCCTCCCGCATTGAAATACTCACACTTGGCCACTATGAAAGAATTTATATATGCAAGCTTACAATTTTACAGTGAGGTACACATGGAATATGTAGCAAGTGAGTATGCTGATAGACAAAATATAAGCAGTACTGCCATTTATTTAGGCTGCTGGTACACTGCGTGCAAACAAAAGGTAGCCTTGCGACATAAAAGCACATGTGATTGAGAGCAAAATCAATAACAGATTTTATTCTTCATGTTATTCAAAAAGCACATAAAGTGTAATTTATAACTCTTTTTTGTTTATGAGCTTCTAAAAAAACTAAACATATAAGTTAGAACATAATATATACCACAATGTAACTCTCTTGTCTATTGGTTTCAGATTGAGTCCCATCATTTGTAATCTGTATTGAATAAAGACTGATTACGAATGGACGTGTTCCTATCTATAAATACGCATACAATCTTTCCTTTATGGCCGCCCCTATTGGAGCATATATGGTCCGCAAGTAACCACGTTGCTTTAATTTCTGTAGTGGGGGATTTTTTACAGGGTGGCTTGCTGGCCTTGCACAACCTCCCGATTCCACCATCGGAAGGACCCATCTCTACGCCTTAGATTGACTGAAGCAAATAGGGATAAATTGCCTTGGCTCAATGGCACAGCAGGCGTGACAAGAGTGGTGCATGAATCTCAGACCCATCAGACTGGAGTAATGAGTGCTGAACGAACAGTACTGTCCCTCTTATTTGTATTATGTATCTTACATAGTTGACATTTTCAGTCGGCAGCTCTTGCTTGATGTTGTTGATCTTCATAACAGGTGTGTTTCGCGACGCTGACTAGAATGTTTGGAAGAATCCCCGTGTCTCCGTTCACACGTCTATAACAAGCAACGTCCACATATGCATTGTAAAATATGCTTTACAGCAATCCTGACTGAATTACCACAGATATTCAAATGCTGATATATGTATATGCTGTACATATAGATATCAAACCGTTTTCACTCTACCTGTGTATCTATATAGTTACATGTGTGTGTGCATGTGTATGGGTAAGTGTATGCATATATACATCAAGAACACATGAAGCCTATATATATGCTCTTTATGTCTATGTATAGTTCACAAGCGTGATCCAAGTAAACTTTGGTATAGGCAACCGAAAGATCTGGTAAGCATCATAGATAACTTACGATTTGTGATGGTTGTGAGGAGACTCTTCAGAACTAACACCAAGCCTCCAGGTACACTTGCTGGGTAGGTCTGGTCTGACCCAAGATTTTGACAGGTCCGTTTTGCACTGTTTAGCAGACCCTGCAAGGATTGGAGCTGTCGATGTTGGTTCCATCATCACAGTAGTATTCACCTGTTAATGAACGAGCATGCATCAATCAATCCAAACCTACACACAAATGGCTTCTACACTCCATGACAGAATGAAAGCACTCGAGAGTGAACTAGCTATCGATTTCGCTCAATACACGCATATAATAGTTAATACCACACCAATATATGCTTTTGTGAGAGCCGACTTGAAATTCACCCATTCAATACCTGCTATGATCTCTGAATTGCGCACATTCATCTTACTATGGAGAGTGGAAAATTTTTGCCATAGGTCATGTAAACACTATTGGGATAAAGAATCATGGCACATAGATAACGGTTAGCTGAGCTTATCCTGAGCGGAGGTCAGTCCTTAGTTAAAGGGTTGCATGCAATCTATATGTAAACATGGCATTACCAATATTAAAATCATTCTAATATATACTGATAACAATATCACTGTAATGTTAACAGCTGGGCCATAAACATACTTGGTGTGCATATGTGAATGCTTTTTATAGACTACAGCACATTGGCTGAAGTTCTCTCGGCTCAAAAAAATCAGCACATTAATTTGGAAAACTTTTTGCCATCTCATGCTACGTCTCATAACTCCAATACATATATTCATGGCACAGGTGTAAGCATATACTATATTATATATATATACTATTTCAAAGAATTCAAACTTCCAAACCTACTCCTTAAAAAATTATATTTCAAAGTACAATTATGTACAGAATTAAGAGTTTCCTTCTTTTGGAATGACTTTGATCACAACATGACATGATCCTATTATTTATTTATTTATTCATGCATTCATTATAGGTAATTGGTTATAGACACCTTGTAGCCCTGGTATCTCGTCGTTACTCTATTCGTCGGTCAGTGATCGTAAACAGTGATGGTCGAAGAGGTTGTGTATATCATACATGATATAGACGTCTTTATTTGAATACATATGTTGCAACGTACAAGCTAGTGCGGGTCGACTAGCCAGTGCCACACCCGATGATCATACATGATATAGACGTCTTTATTTGAATACATATGTTGCAACGTACAAGCTAGTGCGGGTCGACTAGCCAGTGCCACACCCGACTCTCTCGAATCTTCTGTTCCGCTCAGCACTATGAGTAATGAGCACAACTAACCGATAAGTGATTAACTAACTAACAACTAACACCGCGTCCACATGGTTTGTAGAAGGTCGGCGCTGCTGCAGCATGAAGGCTATCGCTGCATCATCGCATCCAGAGAAGATAGTTTGAAAGGTGGATGTATCTGCGGCCGCTCGAGCTGAGATCGTGCGCACCGCCGACCAAAGCACCTTCGATCTCTCGAGCTCACATCGGTGAGCCGCAGAGCTGAATCGAGATCCCAGACCCATATCCTCGCCAGGTATACCGAACGGAATCGTTCTGATTTCAGCTCATCTGACCGAAATCAATCTAGCTTGCCGACTGAGCGTCCCGTCCGCTGTGCGTCGCGTGTCCGTGCAACATTGGCACAAATCTAACCGCTCGAAGTATGTGCCACGCATATTCGACGTCGGGGGGGGCCTGAAAAGGAACCCGGGATACCAATTTGAGGGAGTCAAGGTAAAGTCAAGAAAGTGTCAACGGAGGGGAAATTCCCCCTAACTAAAGATAGGAGAAATACGGAATCGCGGCACAAACGAACGCACACCATCAAACCTCGCCCCCCTGCTTAATACGTGTATAGTATGAGGCAGAAACCCATCATCAGAGCGAAATTGGGGTCACAGGTCAAACGCAATGGGAAAGTAAGATAACACACTTACATGTCAACGGACCCTGTGGAAATTTGTTCAGTGCTGACCTACCATTTTTATCACTTTAAAGACCATAAATGTACGTTTCCCACGAGCTGCAAGATAAGGTCTATACCTTTGACCCTCAAAGAGTAACATGGAGTTACTGTCAACAAAGGACTGAACTCTTTTGCCTATAAGCCCCCTCCACCCGCCCTACCTCCCCCCACCTTCTGCCGTACCCCTCACCCCCGCCCCACCACCACTACCTCGCGCTCAGCATTCCATGAAAATTAATAAGAGCAAAATTAAACATTACACAGCTAGTAATCTTCGTTTAATTTGAGAAGAAATGTATGAAAGTACACTACAATGATCAAGTGAATTTTCAACAGACAACTCACGAGTCCTATATATATAAATAACATTCACTTGAAGGATTGTAGTAATTTTTTCAACAGACGAGCTCACGGTAGCTATAGTATAATTTAATATATATAACATTTACACCTTGACATTTTATTACTGCCTACGCGGCTGCGTTGCCATTACTTGTGTTGTGTAGCCACATTTACAGTGAAAACCCCATAACTACTTAACAACTTGACTTACTAAACAATAATTCTTATGACATCTTTATGACATTACGATAACACCGTCACGTCCGCACTGACTGGCTGTTAGTGCCGCTGAAACTTGCCAAAATGTAACTGGTACCGATCCCACCCTTGGCTAGCGTTGCTGGGCTGCAGAGCAGCATAGGATAGAAGATACATCCATCAAATCCTCGAATATAAATTCCGTTGCGACGTTTTCCATTGTTTAACGGACATCTGGACCCGCCAGGCCTACCGAATCAAGCAACGTTGATATTACATACAACATTATCTAATTAGTAGCTCCACTACATAGTCATGATCAGCTTTAGAATCCGGGCATGAGCGTGGTCCGTCCGTGCGTCCGTCCGCCGTCGCTCGTGCTCAACAGTTGGGCACAAATATTAACCGCTCGATGATACAGTACAATGTGGGACGTGCGGGGGGGTAATCGAAAAACGTATTGATTCGAAGCGGGTCAAAGGCCGAGGTTAAGAGAAGGCGCGGAACATCCTCCTTAATTAAAGTATAGGAGAAAGCAGAATTGCGCACAAATCTAAACGGGCTCGACCTAGTAGGCTTGTATAAGTCGATGTAACTAGCATCATGTAGGCAAAAGCCATCACTGTGCCGAATTGAGGTCACCGTCAAAGGCAATGGGCACAGGGAAAGATTAACATTTTCTGAGGACATGGTCTGACGGACGATGAAAAACTTTTGTTTCAGCATCCCTACCCATTTTAGCTTATGGAAAGACAAAATGACTTCGCGACATGCAAAGACGTTCCGGATAACCTTTGACCGCAGAGAGGTTAACATGATTGGTTGACGTTAACAAGACGAAGCCTTTTGCATTATTAAGAGCCCATACCTGTGTGAATTAGGCACAGTTTCAACATTGAAATGCAAAAGGCAAAGTTGTTGAACAAGGTTACGCCCTTAAATCATATATTTCTCAACAGTCCTCATAGCACCCGAAGGCTGAATCAGTGACGCTTGCGTGTAGGCAAAAACCGCGCACCCAGCGGCACCTTTAATCATAAATGTTGCTCCAACCTGCAATGCACAGGTGTCTGCAATCAAAGATAGTGTGCGAAAGGAGCCGAATATTGTTCGACTGCTACGAACAGCAAACACAAAAAAGAAGACCATTTTCAAATTTTTTTTTTTTTTTTAATTTTTTTTTTTTTTGATTTCAGTTTTTTTTTTTTTTTTTGTGCGCGTCTATCTATAAGACGTCTGCTATGCACAAGAATTATCAGCAAACACCAGACACCAGACAGCCCCTGTCCACTGCGCACTTCTACACTATATCATATGAACGACTGAACTCTTACAATATACTCAACGTTACCGATCTTCCTTGGCCAAGAATAACCTGCCGTGTTCCGTCTGGGGAAAGCAAGTGGCCCGAACGATCATCCCCCCTCTCCCTCTCTCTCCTCTCGCCGCCCTCTCACTTCCTCATTTTTCTCTCCCCCCTCTCTCTCGCTCTTTCCTCTGCAATAAAAAAAGTTCGCAAATAGGTGAGCAAACTGCTATTGCATATCTGCGCATACAAAGTGTCACTACGCACGACTGAAATTGAGTTATAAACCTCAGCAACAGACCTCAGAATGATGCCCAAACGCTCGCGCTCTTAATGCTCAATGGCTAGTACCAAGGTCAAGGCATTTACTGAACTACAGATGGTCAACAACACTGTGAATACATTTTAACGAGCTTGCTTAATCGTGAGGCACGAGATACAAACAACCACTGAGAACGATACCACAGCGACAGTTATCTCAGCCCATTACAAAGGAACAATCGAATAGGACGGATAGAATGCTACTGAAGGATCAGCAAAACGATGGCCAACTCGCCCCGCTGGTGGCACGCCGTCTCTTAAAAATCCACTAAGCCTGTCGTGCTTGATAATCATCGACCTAGGATGTAGAAACCGCCCAGCGTGGGTACCAACGTGCCACGGCTGTACCTCTCGGGACTTTGTGACGAAGTGTAAGGAAGAGCTATTCTACCCAGATCCCGTAATAGTGGCCTTACACGCGTGAGTGGTGAACACCATTGCAGCGCTATTAAAGCAATAATAAAGAACAAACAACTAGAGTAAAGTAATCCATACTCTTTAAGTACACGACCTAATTATCGCATCCCCATAAACGGCGAATGCTACAATCGAGGTGCGGAGCACCAAATCACATAACGTACGAGTTATAGCTAACGTAGGCCGACTCTGACCCAATCTCGTCTAATTGCAACCAGTCGCCTCTATTCTCTTTCCGATCTCCTCCCTAAGTCCGAACGTTCTACTACTCAAGAGGGTAGACACCCAGAGCTATTTTTATGGTCATCGCACACGTTACGCTGAAGGCTATTTCACATGTCATCCACTTTAATACACACTAGGCCTTAAGCCAACCTGGAACAATACTTATTCCATATATATACGTCTTCGACGTATACAATGCTTTATATCTTTCGCATTCGGTCGCAACCAAACTTCGCCCGCTCATTCACCCACAGGTGGCGCTCTGACGAGACACGTAATTCTAAACCACTCGCTGCAGCGATTCTACTCGCTACACATTCTACAAAAATATAATAGAACTGAAATATAGTGAATATATATCTGATACAACTGAAATAAATACGAAAGGAAAAGTATGAAGATTACATCATTTTGAATCTTTGAATATATAAATAACAACAAAGCAGGTGCAAAAGCAAGAACAAGTAGCTCTATGTGAGTTAGCTAGGTTGTCTTACCCACACACAATCGCATAATAACCATCGTTCTGTTACAGTATCTGAATCCAACAACCCCTTGCCACTAGATAACACTGCAAGAAACTGAACAATGAAGGTACATCCTCAGATAGAGGAATTGGGAGAACAATACTACATCCTCTCCTATGCCTTGTGGGCGACTGAACTGGGATAGTTTACTAATAGCAAATAATATTAAAGATCAGTGGTTCTGATTTTTATTTGGATATTACCTGAATCCCATTACTTCATTGCATATCAATAAACAAATTGATGATAAGTGCTGTGAATACGTTGGCTAAGGTCTGTACTGTGCGGAATTGGTGTGTACGTAGCATATCGTGAATGGGATTAGATTTTGTAATCAGTACCACAGGCAAACCTTGAAATCGGTTAGTTCATACATTACCATGACCTCTAACATATCTTTATTCGTGATATGTTTGCTCATTCTGGCGGTGTAGCTAATGCCTGTGCTTATAGGAAGGACTGTTTTGAGCAGACAGGAACCGATGTACATCACTGAATATAAAAGAACAAGGAAAATGCCCCAATGGTCAGTAAAAATTCAATACGCTATAGTTTACACCATGCAATGCATGTTGAGACTCAGCAAAATTTTACCTTCCACCACACTACATACTCAGTCTGTGGTGCATGTTCACAGCTACGGAGATGCATGTTGATGTAACCTATTTCTTGCTAAGTATGTTGCAATGGTACCTGAGGTTACACTTATTCGTTTTAGATTAAGTTCTGACCCATGAGGTCCGACCTCGCTCTCAAGTAGCTTAACGTTACTAACATACGACATAAAGTGGAACGCATTGCTATGATTTGTTCCTACTGAATTGGACAGAATGTAAGTATACTCAGGTCGAAACATATCAAACCTTTATAGAACTATACATAAAGCAACCACATCTTGCATTCTTATAGCTGTCCGGCAATGTTCGACTGTTCTGCAGATGTGGACAAATGTATAAGTCTGAGATAAGAGAACATCTCCATCCAGCTAGGAAATTGTAACGAACAGATACTGATGTGTGTGAGCTTGATCGCTTTCATGTTTACATATGTTTACTCTCCAGACTAATTTGGTTAACTTTAATCAAACTTTTTGATCTTCCTTGGGGGGTAAAGACCGGATTGGCATTGGTGGATTAGCGTCAATAAAAAAGTCGCGAGTATGCATTAACGCAGATAGAGATGTGCCCTACTATGATCATATAAATTTACATCTGACAGGAGGCAGCATGGTACCACGATCCACTGGCATGAAGGCAGCAAAAAAAGAATTAAGAGAAGGGACAAAACGCTTGTCACTCTGGCCTGACTCCCTAGAAGCTACATTAAGAAACTGTAGCTCGCGAAGGGAAACGGTCTTACATGTGTTTTTTATTACATTAATCAAACACCATTTGCTATCAACCAGATATGTAGGCGCCACTTAGCTAATTTTGCGCAGGTGTTGAGTTTGATTGTTTACTGCACGGGTGGTTGGCATTGGTATTGAGAAATAAGCGCATTACACAAGCACGGTCTCAAAATATCATTAACAAACGGACTTAGAAACAGAGGAGCTCGCTGGAAAGTGTTTTTAT